ATAAAATATATAAACCTTCTCTCTCTCCTCACATAGATATTTTTACAAATACATGCAAGAAACTTTTATTTTCCTGACATAAGGCTGTTCCTAAGCTAATGATGGTTCCATTACTGGAATACCCATGTTAGAAATTCTGTAACTGCAAGGCAAATGCCTTTACTTAAATTCAAGCACAGGGTCTGGTTCCATGTCATCATCAACAAGTAGGATCACATATACACATTAAAAGGATCCAAAGCAGCTAGACTGACAAGTAAAAAACCTGAGACTCAAAGGCTCTTTGAAGTCCTGTAAATAATCCTCCCAGTAACAAGTTACTCCCTGATACTACAGTCTACAAACAGCCATGCTAGCAATTGACTCAACCTTGATTGAGTCAAGGTTCAGCCCCTCAATCTTCAAGAATCAAACCTTTTAAACGTTTTTTCTTTTTCAAAAAAAAGTTTCACTTTTCCTTACTCCAAAATGATCCTGATACTATTTAACTGAGAAAGATGAAGAAAGAAGGCATTTTGTATCAAGGACTGAAATAAAAATCCAGAATATAAGAAGAAACTAGGAAAGAACAGAAGAAGAAGCATTTTTGAGTAAATAAAACTTGAATGTGAAGATAATCAGTCATGTACTTGTCACATCATTTATTTAAAGACCATCTAAAACTAGTCAGAACACCCAGTGCACTACCAGAATAAGTGTTATACTGCACTGGAGTATTCGTATAGAGATAACAAGCAGCAGAAATGATGGAACACCTTACCTGTAGAACTGTAAAAACTGTACTGACGTGAATTGCAAAATAGAGCACACCAATGACTATACACACAATCAGATCAGACTGCAGTCGTTCACTCTGGGAAGTGAAAATAAAGTAATTTTAGAAAATACAGGTGTTGGTTATCGTCTTCATATTCTTAATGTTCATCAGCTGTAACACTGATGAGTAAAGATTCTTAAATTTATGGCAGCGTTAACTGCTTCCATTGAAGGTATCAGAAATTTTACAAGATAAATCTGATAGTTAAGAGCATTAGTTCAAATCAGTTAAGTGAGAAGATGCATACCCAAAGCAAGAGAAATTAATATACCCAATATATTCTCTCTCCAACTATGGACTGAGTTAAGTAATGTTTACACTATAAAATTAAGAGCTCAGGAAAAAAGCTGCCTAGACAGAGCTAACAACCAGGCAGGACAACTAGGCTCTCTTCCTCCTTTGCAGAAGGGTAACGGAAAGCTTTGGAATGACCCTGAGGAACGAGAGTCCATACCTCTTAAAAAAAAAAATTAAAAAAAAAATTTGAAGGCAAGCTGTTAGACGGCCTCAAAAAAATAAAATAAAACGAGCAATGCCAGACTCGGTCACAAGGGGGCAATATGTACTTAGGGCCACTACAAGTCACGAGCTCAGAGCTGTTCCCACTCTGTAAATACAGTATTACTGTTTTCAGTCCAGAAAAATTATTAAATGATTAACTGCCCCAAAATCGGCCAACTAATTACACACAGCAGCTACTGCTGCAAGGTCTTAACTTCCTGGGATACAGTCGTCTTTTTTTAACCAGTAAATCCTGACTTAAAACACACACAAAGAAAGAAAGAATATATCACAATCCTCAGCAAGCCTGCCCTTTTGGTGACCAACAACATAGTTTGAGAGCTGAAAAAAGGCGATTGTAGCTCATTCACTCCTGTTATGCATTAAAAGGATTGTGGTTTCTCTGCCTGAAATATTTACTTGCAGTTTCCACACACTGCACCTTGTCACATTTGTGGCTGCTGTACTACGAGAAATCCCATCTATATTGTTACTCCCTGCTACAGGTAGACTTACATCAGGTTAAATTAATATTCAGCCTTCTTTTACAAAAGTTCAACATACTAAACTTACATCTTCTAGTTACTGCTCCACTGTATGATAAAGAGTAATGTATATTTATGAAAGTGATAAAATATATATTTAGAGTGAATTTTTACTAAATATTCGAAGTATGTGCTGAAGTAAATGAAGCAGGTTACATCTGCTTTTAAAAAAAATACCCCACAAAAAACCCCAAAACATTTTCCACCACTTATTTTCTGTCTCTTGAACACCACACACAAAGCTCACAATTACTAGAACTAGAGACTTTATATAGTTTTGCCACCGTTATTCCCCACTAACTTCCACACAGAAGTATCATTTATTATTCTTGATATGATCTCAAAGAAAATCACCAGTGATACTTCACTGAATTCACACTAGAGAATTCCAATTCTTCCATGTGCCTTCTTTTAAATAATTTCAATTGCGCTATATTATACTCCTGATGTAGTGTATTTGTTCATTTGCAGATTTAAAGGAAATGCTCTAATACTCATCCTAATCAACACCACGGTAATTAACAAGTGTTGTGAACCACATAAGATCCAGATTGATGCTATAGAATCCAACATAGAGTAAACACTTAGACTGAATGAAAATAGTAATTGTAATTAAGAAGCCTACTTACCACAGAATTTCTAAGCTTTTCAGGTAAAGGATCTTTTACTTCAGACAGAGGATCCTCAGGGTTTTTGTCTTCAGAATTAGGAAAAAATTTTGATTGCACTAAAGAGCTTAAAGAGAGTCAAAAAAGAACCCACTGAAAAGCCTGTCTTGTTTATGTGGTTTTACAGTAACAACAGAAACAAAAGTTCTATTGCAAGAAAAAAAAACAAACAATCCTGACATATTTATGCTTTCAATGTGGCTGAAAAAAAATTACAAATATGAGATCTCAACTTCATGAAAGAATTAGTTCTCTGGTTGCACATAACTACCACCATTAAAGAGTAGCAGCCAGACTCTATTCTAACAGTAGTTTCTCCAGTACCAGCAGGAGTAGCTGAGCAAATACTGAATTTTACCTGGAGTTCTCAATACTCATAAAACAAAACCCTTAGTTCCTAAATAACTGCACAGAAACGAAACCTGGCACAAAGTTTAGAAGCAGTCTATTTGTCAACATCTTAGAGAATCAAGAATTCTTCTGTTTAATTCAAATTTCAACAAAAAAAAAATATCTACTACCCTGGTTAACTCATGAATTAGCCACACTGACCAAACTACTAAATTCTTAGCTTACCTGGCTGGTTTTGGGACTGGTACTAAAGTCCCGAAAGCTTGTATCTAAGTTTTTAGAAGGCCATATGCAGCACTGTTAGCCATACCTAAGTGTCTCTCAACCCCTCAGTGTGATTTTTCTCAGAACACCCTATGTGGTACAGAAATATTAACTATTTGTTTTCATGGACAGGAAGGTCACTACAGAATGAGCTCTAGATCTTCAAAGGCAATTAGGTATGGCAACGGATTGCAGTGCTTAACTGTGTCACTCTGGTTACGGAGGTGAACCTGCAGGTCAAACGTCCGCATCCAGGCTATAGTCCTTGGGAAGAACGAAAGCACAGGTATCGAGGGGCAAGGACCTCGTACCAACAGAGTAAAGTCACCTGGAGTACGAGTAAACAGGGCAAGGTTGTCAACCCAAAGATAAGAATTCTCCTTCCGTGTGAACACTCACAAATCGTTAATCTCACAGTTCACAGAAAAGGCCCCTCGTTATCTATGCCCAACTACTGCTTATTAAATTCATCCAATTTTATGGCTAAATTTGAACCTAAGTTCAAGCTCTGCCTAAGCCAGGTAAGTAGCTGAACCTCTATTGGTTGTCCTGTAGGAGGTGTTTCTCCTACTGGAACTATTTTGTTTTGCACACATAATCATTAACTGAATCAGAAACACTCCCACCATCAGATCAATACTCCAACTCAGAATAGCAACACAAACAGATGTCTGCCCATGGTGAACAGGAATGCTCATCACCAAACCAGATCCTTACTGTTATGCATCTGAGATGAAATTATCTGAACAAGTGCTTTGAACTTGCATTCAAGGTAAGAATACAGTTACAAATTGAGAGAAACAGCTCAAAAAAATCCACATGTGGGATTCAGCTTAAACTAGTGCTTTGATCACCTCTTTAAACACAGATTTGGTACAAGTTCTCAGTTCAAATGCACTAGCAGAAAGGTTGCACCCCACTGGCATTTTGGAGAATATTGGCAGGCAGTTAAATCTGGTTTTTGGCACATAAGTGATTTGCCAAAATTCAAAAAGCAAGGTTCCCATTCAAGAAGGAAATAGGTAAAAATACTTGAGAATTTCTAACGCCTCAACTAAGATCGTATTATTTTTGATAATGCTGGTGACTACCAGCTCAGAGTATTAATATCTAACATTATAAATACTCTTTCCTTGCAACTTTGCTCTTCCTTGGGGAAGTGACACAAACTGAGTTACTTACAAAAGCACGGAAGGGTCACTACTTTGTCTGCTGAGATGATACGATATTGCCACTAACAGACCACAAAATATGGAGAAGAGAACTGGAATATGCTGCCCATCCCAAGAATCCTGGAGACAGAAACATTAAGGAAAAGAGACAAAAGTGTAACATTTATCTGATGTACAAGAATTATGTTCTCATAAAAAAAGAATTAACTACAATTCCACAAAAATGACACTAGACATTTAGTATAAAAATAACGTTCAGTATTCACCTATGTTGAACTATGGATGAGAAACTCTAACAGAGTACATCGCTTAAGCCTACACCATCTTTAGCATTAAACAGTCATCAATTTTCATAGCCCTTATGAAGAATTTCCTGCATTTCTTGAACTCACAGGTTCTTGGAGCTGCATTTCATTACTTCTTTATTTTAAAAGTTTTCTCTGTTTTTACTCAATTTACTTTTTTTGATGCAGTGAATTCTGACTGAACCAGTGGTTTTATTTTTGTTTTCATGATCTGTACTGGATCTGCAAAGATGAGACAGTGATTCTTTGCTAGAGCTTGTTTATCTTGAACAGATGTGTTTACAAAAGGCTAATGAGACAAATGTACAAATTCACAGGAAGCTAATGATGTTCTGCGGGTGATAGCATCAAGGGAGTATTTCCTCCGGCAAGTTTTTACTCTCTGTTTTTACTCTCTGTGGAAAAAAGCCAGGCAGCTCTGAGTTGGAAAATGCAGAAAATAATGGTGAATTGAGAGCATTAAATTACACACCCGAAACCAAGAAAAAGAAGCAATACAGCACCGTTTTCAAACAGAACGGCACTTCAAACAAGGAAAAACTGTTGGGTTTGGGCTTTTTTTTCCCCCTCTGCTTTGTCAGCTAATCCCACGTTTTAGATAGGCACACACCTTCATTTTGACACTACAAACTGCTTTCTTTCAAGTAAGGATTAATTTAAAAAAACCTATTTCTGTTTGCAGCACTGAAAAAAATACCATCTTGAAAGGTTAACAAACCAGTATATGAAGACTGTGCCAGAAACAAGCCACTTCTGTGATTTCCCCCCCCAAAAAAAACGTGGAAGGAAACTCAAGGTAAATGTCACATGGTTTGCCTTTGTACAGGCACAAAACATACACCTTTTTAAGCAAAACATCTGCTTTGTTCCTGCAATGTTCCTTTACTGCCATCACAGCTGAGCAAATGTAAAACTCCATCAAACAAGATTAGCATTTGAATTAATTTTCTATATATTTAAGTATTTTAAGATATAGGGAAGCAGAAAACGAACCCCAAAGCACCAGTGTATGCTGTGTCTAAAATTTTGCTCACCTTCAGGGCACCATAGCACAGTCCATACAACAATGCTACTGCCACAATACTACAGATAAAACTGTAAAGTGCTGCAAGCAGGCTTGTGGTAGCTGAATATCATAGAAAAGGAAGGAAAAATAAATAGTGTTAGATTAGGTGAGAATACAAAATACTTCATATGGTTTAAGAAAGGTATCGGCCTCACAGTTGCAACTTCCCTCTAATAAAAAAAATAATTATAAATAAATCCAATCCACGGCAACTACTTCTATTTTCCCCTACAAATGATTTTGGTTTTTGAAGAGCAATTTATGTGGATTCACCTCCTCATCTATTCACCAGCATTACCATGGGAGTGGATAACAACTGCAACAGAAGCAGTTGAGGAAGAAAGTGCACTTTTGACAGACTTACCAGGGACAATAATTCTATTTCTCAATCAGAAGACTTCCAGCGTTTGGTTTTTTTTAGAAACTTTAGTGATTTCTCTATATGTAACCCCACCTTCTGAACACAGAATGCTAACTGTACTTTTAACTAGCCCATTAATTTAATCTAAAGCTTTTGCCACTGACAAAAACCACTGCTCACCATTGCCACCGAAGACATGAATATCCAGCTGTTCACAGAGATACATCACAAATGTATTCACCTGAGGCAGGAGACCAATGAAGAATACTATAGGGAAACATAGTGTAAACACTACAGAAGAAAAAAAAAGTTGAAAAAGTGGTGAATGTGAAAAATACAGCATGGTAATGTAGTCTTCAGTACACCAGTAACTCAATATCACCAAAATATTTCTACTATCATTTCTAAGTTAATCACCCATTATGTAAAATCTTTACTTCAAAGACTCAAAAATTACTGAATATAGAGGTTACATAGATCAATAGCCAGATTTCTTGTACTTCCATTTTGACCACTTGTAGAAAAAGACCCAGGCTAGCTCAGGCTTTCCATTTTTACATAGCAAAGATCAGCCAAGGCTGTTTACAGATTAGAAGATTTGTAAGTTTTCGCTCGTACATGAGACTTATCCAAGCCTAACTGCCTGCCTGGAGTTCTAGGAGCAAGCTAAGACCAGCCATTTCACCTCTGGGTTTCACACCACTAATAACATCCAACAATTTTACTCATTTTCCCACACCGCCTCTGACAAGTTCTGATTCTAAGTGACTTTTTGTTCGTTTTTCTTTAAATGAAAATGGTTAACTGAATGGAGCCATTAAAACCCCTGCAAATCACAGTACTTAAGAATGCAACGATAAACAAATCCACTTAATTTTCATACAGGGAATGGTATGTACCAATGTCTACTTACTATTTACTTTTAAACGTAAAGGAATAAAAGATGTAGAAATAACAATTGTGAACAACTATTAAGTAGTTCAGATATAATTCACAAGCAGCAGCATATAATACGTTTTAGGTTCTGAGGGACAGAAGGATCAAACCATGAAAATAACCAACAGAAAAATTTCATAGTCTGGGGGGATTTCCATAACCTGACTGACCTGTCACTTCAGTGCCCAAAAGAAACAACACATATTAAAGTATCCTGTATAGAATCACAAATCTCAGTTTTAAGTTTCTACGTTTATATCCACAGAACAGTTGGACACTTTTAGGAACATGGCTTAGCGGTGGACCTGGCAGTGGCAGGTCAACAGTTGGGCTCAATCTTAAAGATCTTTTCCAATCTAAACGATGCTATGATTCTACTAAAGGATATCGTACTAAAAATATCTACAGTGAGATAGGCACCGAGAATCTCTTTTTTCCCCACTCCTTGGCAAAGTTAAATAACTAAACATTGTTTAAAAACACGTAGGTTCAGGGCTTGGGAAGAATGTTCAGTTCTGCATCTTTTTTAATGACACAAACCAGAAAATCTAATCTATGGACCAGATATTCAGGACCTGCAAAAAACATTTTTCATAATTCTCAGGTGAAAAACTTCATCTCAAATCACTGAGTAATGGGGCAAGTAGGCAAACAATAGTGTTCTCACTGACACGTTAGAAAGTCGTAAAGGCCTCTAAGTTAACAATCTCTGGTCCACTGAAAATAAAATTACAGAATAGATCTGGAAACACCCAATTTAAAGAGTAGTCCAGCAAAAAGCCAACATTTCTGATGGCTTTTAAAGAACATGTCCGTAACAGAATTGCCCTCTAATGGAGACCACCTCGGTGAAAACAGAGAATAGTTTTTACAAACGTGGAGCAGATTCAGACCAACTGATCAAGTCCAACATGTGGGTCACTAAATAAAGAAATAATAATTAAAAAATTATACCAGTCCTCACTGAATTGCTCTGTCCTTGCCAGCAGACAAGTTATTTAAACATAAAGTTTGCCTTGCCCTGTACCTGGGCTGTTCTAGTAGCTGTGCCTGGGAATAGGATAAAATGGCACTTGGGATTTTTACTTTCTGCTAACAAAGGACATTTTCTAGCAGCCAGCTCAATTTGCAATACACACAAAGCTTTTCGAAATAGTGCTTCAGCAACGTTAATAATTGCTCAAGGCAAGGGTGTGCATGTGGGGGAGCAGGGGCAGCAGGTGTCAGTTTATATTTTGGCTTTTTTAAAAATTTATTTTTAATTACAATAACGTGAGAGCTGTTCTGGCAATCTGGTTTTTTTATTGGTAGAACTGCTAAGGAATAGAAACCACATAAGCTGGTGCAAGACACCCAAGAAGAACAGTACAACATAAGGATCAAAAAGAATGATAATTCAGAACCTGAACTAAGAATTTTTAAAAGCTAATCTCAAAATGGACATGGCCTGGTGTAGATACTAGCATATATCTTTAAAACTGGAAAAGACTCTTAAATACTTTTTTTAAACACAACACCGCTTACACAGACATTCATGTATCACCTTATGAGAACATGGGTATAAATTATGGCAATGACACAGGGTGAGAAGAAACGGAAGAAAAGATTTCTGAAACAGACTGAGAATAAACAAGAGGAAGTCAAGCCAGTTTTGTATTTGGAATGAATCCACCTTTTCCATCACAGATACAGAATGAAATATGCCAGTACATAGATAGATCCACAGAATCTGTAGAAAAGCACCTTTGGAAATGCTTGGACAATACTCTATTCATAAATAAGTGGCTTAGACCTTTTTTCCCCTCTCAACATTTTAATTTAAACACAGGTTTACTAGCAGAAAGTCAAAGGGGGAAACAGTATGAGGTATGAAATTCAGGACATTCCTAAAATCAGGTAATAAAAACTAATACTCCAAATGCCTGAATCAGTAATTCTTCCTAACCATTAAAATTTTTTAAAAATATTTTTTTTTAAAAGATAGGAGAATCAAAACCAAGATCAAGCTTTAAATTTTTCTTGAACAGATGACTGCATAAGCACTGGAAGCATGCAGTCTTAACACTGAACTGCTGTAGTTTTTCATACAAAAGTACTTTGGAACACCTGAAGTGCAAGTGTGTTCCATGTAGATGAATTCTTAACGATTTTCTTCCCCCTCCCAAGAGGTGATCCAGAGAGGAGCTTTGCTCCATTACGGAATATGCATGAAGTTCCCACAGCAATGTAGTCTTCAAATATTTACAGTCTCTCTCTCTCTCCTTTCTATGAGCTCTGCCCAAGATTAAGTAGCTGTTACTATTTTCACTAAACTTTGTAAATAGGTGAATGGTTTGTTGGTTTGGGGGAGGAGACGGGGGTGTTTGTTTTTTAGGTCCAGTTTTTTGCAGAATGCCAGCTGCACAGTGAATGTACTTGTCGCATCTCATACAGCCCAAAATTGCATTTTTAGTATGTTCTGAGACACACTAAGTAAGATCTAATCTGTTTATAATGTTTTTTAAAAATATGTCCCCACTGTTCTACCTGATTACTAAACACATGTAACCTGATTTAAAGAGAACTCTCTCTCATTTGCCACAAGTCCCTCTAAAGATTACAAAAGAGTCCAAAACATTTCTTTAACCACTGAGCAGCTTGATCCAACTACAGGGAAACATATCCATGTCCAAGTTAAAAAGAAAGAACAGAAGGTTCAGGGATTAGGCCTAAGACACTAAATAACTAAAAAGTTCTTTTTTTCCAATTACATCATATTAGTTGACATCTCCGCAGCTTGTTACAGAAGTGATAGAAAGGGGGAACTTTCCCATCAACTTCAGCAAAGCTAAAACTACTCTTTCCAAAGGAAATTAAATGAACTGGATTTAGAAGGTGAGTGACGCAACAATGTCACACAACAAGATGCAGAGTGGAAAAAAGAAAAAAATTCTACTTTAGTCAAGCAAACAATTCAACTCCACAAAAAAAGGTACTCACCTATAACTAAGTCCCTGGCTGACAGCAGCAGCAACGGGTTGGTGAAAGCCATTCCATACAACCTGAACCTTGTTGTAGATATGTGTCTGCTGCCATAATCCAACAGCCAAATAAGACCACAACATAAACAGAAATATACAGGCCTACTATAGGCTATGATACGATTATGACCCTGTTAAGACAAAAAACCAGCAAAACAACAAAACAACATTTGGTTCATTGTTAGCAGAAAAAGTAATTGTTACTCTTCCGTTACAGATGATTTCAAAACCGAAGTTAAATGCTGTTTGTCAGCTAACGTACTGTCACCTCTACATACTCAAGTTTTGTTCATAAAATCCTTAGTGCATTGCCTTGCAGTGATATAAATTGTTTTGTGGGGGGTTTTGGTTTTGATATAACAAGGACACCATTAGATTAAGGTAGACTAAGCTATATTTACCCTTATTCTCTCTTAAGTTTTCAAGTATGTTTCTTGCAATACTAAATGCCAGAGAAACTCTGACTAGGCTTCAAAAGCAAGAGAACATATTGAAGAAAAAGCAAATAGTTTGTTACTCACAAAACAATCCTTATTTGTGTGTTCATTGAAACATACCACTTATTACCTAAAATTATATTAATTACTTGCTGCAGACGAATAATGCTTTTTCATAGCTTATTTAGGACATAATTTTATTTTGTCTTGGCAATGCAGCAGATGCACAACAGAATACAAACACATCGTGTAACACCAGCACATCAACATTTCTGTGCTCAAATGTTAATGCTTGCTAGAGCATCACATACTCAGCTTAATAGAGTGAAAAAATAAGGCTGCTCGTGCACTAGGACAGTGGAACGGTCTATAAGACCAGACGAGAACATCAAACCTCTGTGAGTTCACGCCAGCATAGCAAGTTACAACGTTAAGAACATTTCTCAGTATAATTGCTTGAATACTAAAGGTTCATCAAAAATCCTATGAGGATACGGCTCTATAGCAAAAGCAAGGCTTCAAACACTGAGGATGTGATTTGCTAAATGCAAACAAAGCACATGCAGAGGAAAAATAGGATCAGTTCCCTTCTCAAACAGTAAGAGAACACAAGCCTGTTCCGCCTCATAAGAGAGCACATAAGAGAAAGGACAAAAAGACCAAACCAAAAAGATCAATTCTCTGTGGAAGTTCTACATCTGCAGGGTTAGTAGGGAGGTACGGGCCCATAACTTACGTGTCGAGGGGAAGAAGAATCGGGCTGAACGCTCTGAAACCAAAATGGGAAAGGGGAAAGTTACTCAATCTACAAGTAAGTGCATTTAAGCAAAAGAGGGGAAGTTCTTTTAATAAATATCTAAAATTAATTTAACAATTGCCAAGCCACTCTACAGCCTTTAAACAGCACAATGTATTGAACCATACAATCTGTTCAAAGAGTATGTTTAAAACATTTTTTTAAAAAAAGCCACACATCATTTTAAAAATTTTTACTTTTTTAAAATACAAAAATCTCTTATGTACTTTAATTTTAAAACTAATTTCCACCCTAATTGTCTAATAAAAAGGAATTAAACGATCATTCTTAAATCACAAAACCCAATAACTAACTGCCTAATAAAACCACGATTCTCATTAAAAATATGCTTAGATATAAATGCTTAATATGAATACATTGAGGTGGACCCACCAAGAAAAAAAAGCAAACAAAAAACCACACTCTAACAAACACCACCACCACCACTACAATAAGACAACTTCAAGTTTAGTTTGCAAACAGTAGGAGTGTGCTCCTCTTTGGGAAAACACAAAGTTCATGAGAACAACAAACAAAGGGTTGCTTAAACATACGCATAACCATTCTGGTGAAGTGACCTTGTACAAACAACTATCAAACTTTCCATGAAGCTGAAGTTTACTCATTTCTTTTAACATGATAAACATGCAGGGTTTTTTTTCCTTAAAGCTCTAACCTGCAATACCCACAGTTATTTCTACTGTTTATAGAAAGTGAAGACTGAAATTAAAATACCTTCAACAGCGAGTACTGACAACTGGCTATTACCAGGCAGAACTGGAAGACCCAAATATCCTTGAAAAAGCCCTCTATGAGAAGTACAGAGCCCAGAAATGCAACTAGAATAGCTAGGATGACAGCTAACACGTTTTCAAGGATCTCACGATTCCTGTATTAGAGGAAGAGAGAAAAAAAGACAGAATTAAAATCTAACTACATCTAGAAAAAGCTGCAAGGGAACCGTTTGGGTCAGAAGTTACTAGGAGTTGTGCTGCTGGTAGTGAAGAAGTTAACAGAACTGAACTCGCACAGATTACACTAGTACACTGTCTTTCAGCAAAGTTAGGAGCTACCAGGGTTTCAATGCCGCTGGAAGGAATTAGTATCTTACAGAATTTAACTTTAAACAGCAAAAAGATAAACTTGAGCAGATAAATTTAGAAATCCTAGCGTCACAGAACACCAGGTTGGAAGGGACCTCAAGGATCAAAGATCCAACCTTTTTTGGCAAAGGTCACCTAGACAAGATGACCCAGCACCTTGTCCAGGTGAATTTTACAAGTGTCCAATACTGAGGAATCCACCACTTCTCTGGCAAGATCACTCCAACGGCTGATTGTTTTCCTTGTGAAATAATTCCAATGCTCAACTAGAAGCATGGTCTGTAACACAAATCTATATTCAAGGCCCACGCAACACCATTACAAGCCTGTGAAGAGTATATGCACGATAGCTTATCTATATATAATCCATCATTCATGATTTTATAATGACGAAACTAAAAATACTCTCTCTTGGCTAAAGATACGCCAAGTGGAATAATGAGAATTTCATATGATATTGCTAGTGCTATGGAACAGAATGAACAGTATTTCTGCCTGGACAGAATCACTACTATACTATTTATCGCAAGGAAGCTCATTACCAAGTGTTAAATACTTCATATATTCCAAATGCTTGTGTTAAATACTTCATATATTCCAAATGCTTGTAATTCAGTTGTCACCTGTGTTTATTTGAGTATGTAAACATAGCAGGGACAACAAGTTACAACATTGGATGACCCTTTGGAAAAACGCTTTGAAACAGCAGGTAAATTCTCTCTACTTGCTGAAATAACTCAAGTGTATGCCAGGTTCTAGACTCTTCCAATTCATTCTTCAGAGAAGAAAACAGCACAATTCTCTACGGATAGCTTTATCCATATATCACCCATAGTTTAGTTCCCATTTTTTAAATCTTGACTTTCTGAGGTCTAGTAACATACAAGGATCTCACCTATCAAATAAAGCCAGAAGAGTTAATCTATCAAAATTTATGCTAATCCAAAGCTTAGGCAGGATCCAAAAGCGATAGTACTGCTTGACTTTTTGAGCTGCTTCCTCTTGAGGTTGCATGTGGTCCTGAAGGTCGGGGCTCAGGTCAATATCTTGCTGCTCCAGCAGATCCGTGTCCATGGTTAGCAGCCTGTTCAACCTGATCTGAGGAAGAGAAAGCTAAAAGAAAGTCAGTATTAACCAAAGCTCATTTTAATTATATCACTGTATTCTAACTGAAAACAGTTGGGGGGGGAGGGGGGGAGAGAAAAAAAAAAAGCTAGAATTACTTAGTTACACTTTTGAGAAGTTACATGCTAAACACTGTCAGTTCTCAGGCTTCTACTTTTTTTCCTGTCCTTACCCTGGCAAAAGAACAGCACCAGGAATAGTTTGCATACAACACAGCTGTTTGGCATTTAAGCATATGCTTCATTTCAAACAAAGTCTGAACAGTTCTTCCAAGCACATTATCCCATTTATTCCAAAAACTTCAAATCTGAAGACAAGTAAACTGATACATGAGCAGGAATAATGTACACTACACAAGTAACCCAATTCCAAATTTATATATACTACTACACATTTCTTACAGGCAGCTAAACTGCATGCGTGCCTATGCCAAACAGTTGGTTTTGCAGGAGAAAGCAACATACCTGTGTATCAGGGCTCAAGTTCTAACTCCCTACATTCAGAATATGCTCAGAGACAAACTAAAAGCTCTGCCCTAACAAGTCAGGTACTATTTATGACTGACTACACTTGTCACTTATTTTGTAGTCTATTAGAGTTCTCTTGAAATCACAGTAATACTACAGCCACAAAGGACATTTAAAGGAGAGTACTCAGAAGGCTAAAGAATTACTATAGGATGCATGTGTCATCTAATCCACTCTATAAATTTCATTAGCAGGCCAAAAACATCTTAATGAACTGCTCTTAATTCCTAAATGATATCATTGTTTAAATGTCATTTAATGAAAAGTCTTCCCAACCTTGTAAAGCAAATAGTAAAATTTAAATACTCATGTCACCTTTAAGTGTCAAAATCTTAGGTTTTGGGGGATTTTTTTGGTGCTTTTTAAGATAATTGTGTAACATAAGCAAAATTGTGCATTAGAGTTTTCATTTTTGAAATTTTTTTTCATGACTCTTCAAAGCACCAGTGTATCATAACTAGGCTCAGTTACATTTTCCCTCCTAGAAAAATACTAATAAAAGCATTTCAAAATAACAAAACATACTAAGACAAGCTGTGTCACAAAACCAGGTGCTTTTCGACAACTTTTTAAAACCTCACTTTTTTGAGAGGCAGAATGACTATAACATAACATTCATCACATGAATCATAGATTTCAGTGGGAATTTTCATTTAGTTACAGGGGCTTAGCTTTTCCAGAAATGAGTTTGCCTTAAACAGCATCATTCCCTCCAATGGGACTCCGCTGCCAAACCAATGGCCCACAGCAGGCAACGCAGCCTCGTGTCTGGAGGGCACGTTTCCAAGGAGGATGGTGGAAAGCACAGAAAGTTCCCCTAGTAGCCAGCAAGTTTGAAGAGCGCATTCTTCATCCAAAGCACAGTCAGGCAAAAGGAGGTCTCTTGCACCCCTGCCAATTGCTGAATCCATATTTCATTTTCCATTTTGATTAGGTGCTTGGACATATTTTACTTTGGTTTCCCAGCTGACTAATCATGACCACAAACAACATGACCACTTGCACTCTTTTCACCAAACAGCAAGATGATAGAATTAAGACTACAGATATAAATGGACTTGACAACAATATAAAGGTTTGAGATCATAAAAGTAAGGAATTCTAAAGCTATCTGCAATATGAAACAGAGCAAGCCTCTGCCTTTCCCCCTGCCCCAGTCACTCCTTGTGTACGAAATAAAATTTTGTACAACAGGTTCCAATAACAGATTTTTAAATTCCTTCTAGGAATTTACTGAAGTTTTCTCTTTGTCAAAACACAGAATTTATTCTTTCTGCTGCCTGCTAATCTCAGTAATGCACAGAAGGAAAACTCTGGTCAAGCTGCCCAGTCACCTCTGGAAACCTTTACAAGTATCTCAGAGCATCCTATTTCTATATAATCTACAAAATCCCTCTGCTTTAGATCAGAGGAACACATTTATATTTAAAAATTAAAGTGCTATGAGGAAGGGTAAATTTCTATGTATATATGAAGACACCCCAACAACAAATAAATAAATACTTTTTCTTCATTTAAAGCCAGGCAAAAGCCCTTCTTAAGAACAGAGAGCTACCACAGAAACAGCCAATGATATAAAAACAGAAAGTTCGATTTTTTGCATGCTTTAAAAATAAGTAAGAAAAACTTACTAGATCATGTGGATAAAAGCGAACTGAGGTAGAACTCGATACGTGAGAGTCCGTGTCACTATAAGAACAGGGGAAAGACTTCAGATTATAAAACTACATTTTATTTCAACAGGCCACTTTTTCTAGTGACTCCTTGCAAACTCCATCTAAAAAAATCTTCCTGTAAGTTTTTCCTTCAATCACATATTTTAAATACAAGCATCCACTTTGTCTTGCATATCACAGTAAATTCTGTGGCTCTAGTAAAACGGCAGACTCTTTATCCTTGGGATAATTTTCTCAACATCTAGTCTCTCAGTTGTCTAACAAGGATTATCATGATGGTAATTATTCCACTTGTAAAAAACAAAGTGTTTTACAATTTGTTAGCTACTGAAGTATAAACATGCATCGCATCTCTAAAGGAGTGCAGAGTCTGCCATGCGTTCACATACAGAGCTTTTGTTAATTCTACACCATTTTTACCAAGGTCTCAAAAGTGCCAAAAATAGTACACATTAAATATGAGTATACTGAGTTACTTAAACTGCTCTTGAGAAACTTAACTTAAACCTCTGGTAAGAAGAGCAAAATTACTTTGCAATTTCCATTCATTAGAGATGAGGAGAAATTTCTCTTACTGTATTAGAGTCCATATCCAACCATTCCTTTTTCCCCCAATTTTGGATAGCTTTTTGGATGTTTGTTTTCCATGTAAAAACCACATGGCTATAAGACTCGTATCAAATTTACGCAACTTGCCTTCAGTTTCTTGCCTTAAGATAAAAATATGCTTTGTTATCAACTTTACTTCTCTGAAACTCAAGTATTCTCTAAAGTTGAGAACTGATTATTTTTTGTATGTGGCCAGTTCGTTCCTTCCAATAGCACATACAACTTCACAACAGCAGCCAGCAGCAAAGCCACTGCATCTGGGACATGCAAGCAGCAGGGACAAACATTGGCAGCTTTGCACAAGTAAAACAACTTTTGGTCAAAGTTCAGCTCGACAACATGTACTTGCACACTTTCACAACAAAGATTTGAAGATGGGAGCTTTTATATTAAATACTCCATAATTCCAATAGCTATTCCACCTACAAGTGGTGGGAATTTTTAGTATTCTGAATGATGCGATAGTTTCAGAGCAGTTTTATGCAGTGAAGGGGATGGGGGGGGTTGGAGGGGCACAGGAGGTTTTGAGTTGATTTTCTTTCTTCTGCCTTCTGTCCCTTCTGAGAAAGCAAAGGCATCTTCCCAACAGCAGATGAACTTTCCAGTATGTAGCTGGCTATTTCAACTGTAAGTCACATTTTAACCTCAGGCATGTTAATACTTCCATGTATTGTTTCATGCCATCTACGAACTTGAGAACAAATTTATCAGTTTACATTTGCTTCACAATTGGAAGTTTATTTATAAATAAGAGCCATTATGATCAACAGCCACCTACTTTTCCCAAAACCTGAGTTAAAACCTTTAAGAAAGGCTTTCTACAAGCCAATCAAAAATTGATTTGTCAAGTTCTCTGTTTGGACATATATTGCTTAAACTAGTAGTAGCCTTCTTTTTCCGAGATTTATTTAAGCGCAGAAGATTATTTATGCAGTTAGTGTCATTTTCCAATAGAAATCAATTAGAAGTATACAGATACTACTTTATATTGGGTTGTGGGTTTTTCTGCAGTCCATACTAAATAACCTTTAACAATTAAAATGAAAAACTTTGTTGCAGTAAGACAAGAATCATCACTCTTGACTGGCCTTCACACACACCAGATGTTGGATGCTCTTCTTGCAGCTGGCTCAAAGTTCACAAGTGACATGTCGCAGCCCCCTGTCTCGTAGAGCGTAGAACTGAACTTACCTATTAAAGAAAAGGCCAAAAGCAGGTCAAAATTTCACAGTGTTCCATCCTACTGGCACTAGTTTTTATTAATTAACATACCACCGAGATCAATTTAGACATCTAAATTTACATCACTGTCAGAATATAACGTGATTACACATTAATGCGTCACCAGTGCAGACAAGACATTAGCTACTCAGTCCTCTTTACACAAACACAGTAAACTGCAATACTGAATTCAATTTTCAGAGTTTGTATTTACAAGATGTCACCATTAGCACAGCAGAAGCAAGATGTAAGCCTTTTGGTTCCCCCCATCTTCAGAAAATAATGAGGCAAACAACTTGCAATGACCAATTTCTTCAGTTCTTCCCCACCCCCTCACCCGCAGTAGAATAGTCAGTAAATAATTCACTATCAGCATTTAGCTAAGGCAGAGATTTCTCAAGGGTCCTGAAAAAAAAATTGAGGCACATGCCTATTTGAAAAGAAACACATAGAGTGAAAGAAGTGGCCAGAGATGCTTCATAAATTATACCCCTAGAAAAAACAAACAAACAAACAAAACAAAAAAAAGAAGGGAATGGCAGGCAGAGATTTATTCTACAAGCACAAAGCAAATGCTTCAGCCTAAGAACAGAAGACTGCAAACTAAGTTCTAAAGATAAGTCACTTGGAGTTACTGGAAGTCCCTAACCACAATTTCCTAAAGTTGCTATTAAAAACTTTTTGAATTAACAATATTAAGCTATTCCTAAAGATAGAATTAACAAAGAAGTGGCCAGAAACTGTAACTCCAATGACATAATAACCTACTCACAATATGATGTGTCTCCAGCGCCCTTCTCCCACAATAGCCTGATGGGAGATAAGCGCTGTCATTTCCCCTGAAGGCTGAGTTCAATATATTTCAGCCCTGAATGCAGGAAGTTCATTTTGAAATTGTGATCTCGTATGAAGTGTTCTGCCAATTTCTCCATCTCTTCTAGCTCAAAACCCTTCTTAAGCCATGATGCAAAGCATGCACTATTTTATGTTCTACTTATACACAAAAATATTAAATCCCACTACACAGCACCTGAAGCAAAAGCTGCATGAACCTCACAGATGCACGTCTTGCAGCTGATTCTTCTCCAGCCAATACAGGAGAACAAGCAGTCCCAGGAGAAACACCTAACAAGATCAGAGCTTCCAATCTTCCCCCTTTCTGTCAGAACAAACCTGCTTCTGATACAGTGGTTTTTGTTATATTAAAAATAACACAACAAAACACGACACATTACGATCCTGCTACAACCTGTCTTCAGACCCACAGACAACTGAGTTCAATGGAAAAGTGTTTGAAAGCATGAAAGTTAAAAGCCTCAAAGTAGATGCTTAAAGACAGTGAAACCACGAAAAACAACTGGTATGTATCAAAACAGGGAGGTTGGATTAAATGATCTCTAAGGTCCCTTCCAGCCTAGGCCATTCTATGACTCATGAAAAGCACCTTCATAAACCTTTCCACCCTCAGAGGGGGCACTTCAGACCAACTAGACACAAAACTGCAGCCACGCTACGACCAGCCACTCTGACAAGACAGTCGGCTACAGGAGTCATGTACGGCATGCATCAGAGCTCAGCAATGCAACTGCTCTCCACACTTAATTACAGCTCCTATACAGAGTTGTAAGGAAACAGAAGTAGGAAGTTTGCTTGCTAGGGCTTTTTCCTCAATAGCTAAGATTTTTCAAGAAGCATTTTAGTGCCAATATCCTTTTAAACTAGTGCAAGACATTAGGAATCCTCCTCTCCAGAACTACTGTAAATAACTTTAGTTACACAGGTCTATTTCTTTATTGCATCAGTAAAAAAAAAAACAAAACACAACAAAAAACCCCACAGCAAACATGGAGGTATTAATTAATACACCTCAGGTTTTAGTCAGGACAACATTACGCACAACTTGCTATGGAAAAAATCTTCTGGGCAACCAGTCCTTAAGACAAGGAAGTTCGGGTTAAATTCTTTGTGGTTTTGTGTTACTGGATTGAGAGCCTGGAAACTAAACTTCCTGATTTTTAAGTTAATGAAGTCACAGAAACTAGAACATACTACTTTCAAGTTATAACATCCCAGTCTCTTGAGCTGAGATAACACATATGAGATTTTCATTTCAAAAGACATTTCCTGAACTACTACACTCATGTGAAATGTCTGCAACTACAAAAAAAAATTACTATAAACCAATTCACATTAGAAAATATCAACGGTTCCCTCACATCCAACTTATCTTTGAATCTATTCCAATTTACTGTACTTGTATTGCTGTCCTAAGTATTGCATGGCTGTGGTGGGATAAAACAAACACAGTTAGAAAGGTAGCAAACAGAACATTTAATTCCAGTTGTTTACATACAAACTACAAAACAAGATTCAAGTTTTGCCATACTTGGAACTCACCCCCCTACTTATGCAGACTTCCTTAGCTCTCTGTCAAGAAAAGCATGGGTCCTCAACAAAACAAAGTTGCTTGCCCCCTTTTTCGTTTTTCTTCTGATTTTTGCTTTGTTTTGTTGGGTTGGTTTGTTTAAATCAAAAGGCTTTCCAGGAAAGTCTCAACTCATCCTGAATAGAAAAGGTGACAGGGCTCCTCAGTGCAGTTGAGGATGCAAACCCTAAGGCGTGACTGGAGACACTATGGCTGAACTCCAAAGTCCCACCAACCAAATTCTTTTTAAACTGTGCAACGTAACAGTAGCTTCCGCACAGCACACTTTAATGAAGGATCCCAACATTCCCAAGATTCAATACATCTTGATTTAGTTATCCTAGGTTTTTTTCTCCCTCCCATTCCTAGCTCTCCCACAGCGTTCTCTGAAAGACTTTTAATAGCATCACATTGAAGAAGCTTCTGTCCACTAAACAGAAATGCTTGTAACCTTTCCCCCTTACCCCAAAGGGAGGGCTGTGAGTTCTTAGCAAACACAAGTCTCCCAAACAACAGCCTATTTGGGCCAAGTGACAAAAAACCCCAAGACTAAGCCATTGATGCTCAGGCACATAAATCCAAAATACATCTTTGTCCTGACATGAAGAGATGAAAAGAGGAATGCACCCCTTGGAAACAAGTTTTCCTTGTTTCAAAAGACAAGGATAGCTCATCACCAAGTCCAGAGACCACCACCACCAAACAGTTCACACTGTACGAACTGGAGTTCCCACAGTTACAGGAATCAGTCAAAGGAACATGAGTTTACACTGATGAAACGTGGAAGACTTCGGTGGCTCAGGATCCAAAAAAAAAAAAAAGGTGTTCTCAGAGTGTTGTCAGTCAAGCTATTTTCAGCACATTCCCCATTTTTCCATCTAATAACTACAACCTTTTTTCCAAACCTCTCAAACTAGTTCTGAATGTCACCAGCACTTAACATGCTGAAGTCTACATAATTAGATCAAGATATATTCATCTACTACTACCTGGGACAACACTTATAAAATCCTAGTCAGCAAAATCAAAGCCATTGGAATTTGAATACTCTACTGTGGAAGGAGCTATCATTTCCAAAGGTCAAAATTCTACCTTTGATTGCAGTATAAAAAGACTTACAAGTTTTTAGTTAGAACACCTCAAGGTGGTTCATTTTTTATTTCAGTATGAAGTCTGTCAAAAGAGTAACCTACCTATTATGGAGAATTCCAGACTGCAACAGGGATATTTTCAATAGGAACAATGGGAAGTATTTATTTCTACCTGTACTTTTGAAAATACTCTCCCATATATCCCAAATAAGTTACGTCTACTTAATCATAGAATCAATTTCTCAATACCTTTTCGATTGCTTTTATTATCAGTGTATACACTTATCTGTAGAGTAGTTTCAATCTTCAAGACTATCCAACCGCCTTCACAAATTAAGATACTTCAATAAATCTGAAAGATTATTGCTTGCACGTAACTGATACAATCAGAAATCTACTGTAACAGTGTCATTGTAGTGTAAAACTCCAGACAATCAGTTCTGTTTAATGACAAAACATTGCTTAAAAAAATTTAAAAAAAGAGCTGAGAGCAAAAGGCGGTTATTTCACCCCAATTTGAGAAACTGGCCATCTGTCCTAGTAACTCAGTACCTAGATTCCTAACTACAGCCTTTGCTGCAAGGACTGAAAAGTCCCATCCATCACCTACACATCTCAAGAATCAGATATTAGTGAGAAAAGGCATCAGTACTGCCCCTCTGTGCTCTGAAGACTGTCATTTACCTAAGTCACAGCAGGTGTTTTGTCACTTTCTGGAGTCCCACTATATTAATTTTGCCTATAGTCATGGCATTTGGTGTCTGCCACCTTTCCTTTCTGTCCTGCACTCCTGTGATTCACTTTACATTTACTCTTCCACATTAAGCTCCTTTTCCATCCTTTTAAGTTCCTTCTCCCACATAAGACAACATAATTGATAAAAATATTTCTACTTTGAACCTGGAAGACTAAAGACAAAGCCTCAAAGCATGTCTTGCCTTACTTTCAGGACATTGCCCAGTCAAAATTTAATGTATAGTCACCAGACTGAAGGTAAGGTTTATCTTTTGTAAAATAATATGCCAGAATCAAGTTAACAGACACAAATCTTTAAAGCCCACAAGATGACACATGAGTTTGCTGGGGATTTAAGAGCTGCAGCTTGTCATCAACACATAAACAGACAAAATGGAGAAGTAGATACTGCACTGGTACACAAAAACAAAAGTCCTAAGTGTGGGAGCTTTTAACATAAATTAAAACACACCCTATTTGTCTTCCAGAAAAGCTAGAATATGCTAACAGCAATTCAGTAAGAAAAGAAATTCTTATATGCATTGTACAGATACGTATAACCCCATCTACTACATTTGTCACTTATATTTCCAGTTGATGTAAATCAGGTTTTGTTTCCACATCTTTTCCCCATGCCTCTATTTTCCATACTCTTTCTGCCCTGAGCAGTCACAGCGGTTTCCAGTGACAAAGAATTAGTCATATCACCTGCATTGCTTTCATCAGCACCAGAATAAAAGTTAAAGACAAACTACTACCCTCCGCCATCCCCAAACCATACGCAATCTAAAGTAAAGTAACAAGGTCACCTTTCACTGTAAGATATCTTGGGATAACACAGCACTTAAGGGACATAGAGCAGTAGGGTTATCCCCTTTATCCCCAACTAAGAATAAAAAAAACAACGGAGAGACTAACCAAACCACGTACCAGTTATTAAAAGACACTCTCCCTTCCTGCTAGACCTCATAAAGGAATCATGCATGTGAAAGATTATACCATTTTGCCAATTATTTTACCCTAACAAAGATAGTATCTGTCACACAAAACCTGGTACACAAACTAGAAAGTTATTTTCCTAAAATCATAAAAACAGATGTTGCCTATAAATAGTTGCCTTCACTCATGGAAGGTTTCTAAACAGACACTCAGAGCTGCAAAATCAAGATTAAATCCCTATTGTACATCAGATTATACCTCAGACAAAGTTTCACATGAATTCAGCTATACAGAGTCCAATACATGCCAATTGCAATGAATATGCCTTTTTCAGAGAGCCTGAATGCCACGTTCAATTTCTTAAATGATGCATTTAGATTTCCACTACAACACAGTAATAAAAGTTCTTAACTCAAATTTACCTAGATCGTGTATTAAATCTTGAATTCTATAAAACTTCATTGTATTACTTTAGGTAAAGTAAATCAAATCCTTCAAATACAGAAACAGTGGCTTTAAGAATAAATTGCAACATAAACCTTGGACAGATATAACCTGTATCCCTGAATTTCAGAGTTAGATTCCAATTTTTTTTTTTAAAGAAAGAATCCAATTTTAAAGAAATCTGTAGTTTCATGTGATAAGCTTTCATAGTTCAGAAACACATAAAAGCACTGAGATAGAAGTCTCTATTTTTCTATCTAGAAACTCGTGCAGCCACAGGATCTAAAATAAGAGTTACCAGCTAAGGAACTGTGTATTTCACACACTTGTAGTTAAATTTTGTAAGACATCCTGGAGAATGTTAGGGGGTATCAGTTGTCCTAATACTAATTTTTTCTCCCCTCATATTGCAGCTAGATGGTGCAGAGGAATGGCAGCCTGTTAGTCAAACTTTTATTTACAGGAGTACCACAGCCTGGCAACGCTTGACGTCTTCTCCATTAGTGGACTAAGATGATAATTCACTTATCTTTGAGTACTGGGTTTCAGCAAGGTGTGAAAAACATGTTTTGCCAGTGGTCTGAGCTAACCTGTACTTTCACGTTATTACAGCTGCTCAAGATACTGTCAATAATAGTTCTAAGGATGTCAATTTTAATAATATGAAGAACTCCATATTAATGCTAAGGTCATAACGAATTCAGGCCATGTACAGACAGCTGCAAAGATCCCTACCAGGAATTTTTCCACACCTGCCTCTGCATTACTGTGCCGCAGGAGATCAGTCACTTATTGTAACCATATTAACTTTGGGTTTGCTAGCAATTTTATTAGTTGCACAGAAGTTGATAAATAGTTAAGAATACTACATAAAATGGACCACAAAGAATTATGGGGCTCCCTGAAATCATGACATTTGATATAAGAAAGAGTCTATATTTCCTTCCAATCTAAAGCTCTTAAATTAAAGGCATATGTAAAAAGTAAAGCATTCATTTACATGAGGATTTTATCTTTTTTTTTTTTGAACAGCAGCTAAGCAAGACTCATTCAAAAAAACTAAGATCAAGAATTCTTAGGGACCATAACACATTTTTTTCAGAAACCAGGAGATCCCCACAGTTGGTTTCAAACTCTGCTCAACTACCTGTGACAACACAAGAAAACTTATGCGTTACACATGGTACATTGTTCAAGTAATAGAGCTCACAGCATCACTACTCATATCTACGCATCCTTGGAGCATTTCCCATCGTGTGCTGATTAGAGAAAGAGCCTGGAAAGGCGACTGCGAAGGACAAGGAATTTACGAGCAACGCAGCTTTCTAATAAACGCACCCGCAGAAACAAAGCTGAAGGTTAGCTGGTTTTCACCACGTTATTACCGACACATCTGCCGTACAAAAACTTCCATCTCCCCAAGGTTACGTAAGGCCTGCATACCCAGTTCATCGTGCAAACTGCTACCGCCTACAGCAGATGCAGTGCCATGGGATGCTTCTAAGTGGACACTCCCATTTCTCACCAGCAAGGAGGTGCTGGCGCCCAGCACAGCGGCCTGGGAGGGGGGACGGGCCTGCGCTCTGACCTGGGAGGAGGGCTGCTGGCCTGGCTGAACGTCTTGAAGGCTAGGAGAAAACAGGGATTGGGGACACGTTAACCAGGAAGAGGAAAAATGGCGAGTCGTGAAGCAAAGCAAGACTTTTTAGCTTAATGAGGAGAACTTCAGAGAGCACAGCGTTAAGAAGCCACGTAGTAGGGTTAAGACAACCCATGAGCTCTGTATAACAAAGTATTTGGACACTAGTTCTGTCAGTAAACTAGAAATACAGTTCCCACCCTACTTCTTAGAAGTAGTATGGCTTTCTAACACCTCCCCAAGTCACCCATAAGTACATTCGTACAAACCTCAATTTGTGGGTTCACAAGCAAATGACTGGTTAGCCTTAACTGCAGACCGACCTGAGGTATCACCGACACGCAGCAGTGACCATTCCAGTCTCCTCACGGAAAAGAATCCTTTTTGCTCATCTAGGCACAACTTGATCAACTGTTTGAGAGCTGGCTCTCTGGGGTTTTCTTTTCAGTCACAGTAACAACACCCTTCTTGCTATTAATCTGCACTACAAAGTGACTTTCAGGTTTGTTAACAGCCATACACTAGCACAGCCCTTGTAGATAACCCTAGTTAAGTCTCTGGGTTCAGAATCTTAAGGAAAGTTTACAATAAATTATTAACTAGCAAAAGGTTAAGTCTATTTAAAGTTACTTTGACAATACAGTAAAAACTTTACTATTCAGTACTACTACCACAAAGAAATTTTTCTACCCTCAGACAAGTACCTGCACTAAAACATAGGTTTTAAAATTCAACTTGGGCTTAAGAGAAATTAGTAACTTTACAGTTATATGAATAGACAACGCTTGAAAACGTTTGTTCTCCTCTTCACATCTTCTCATTGCAGACTATTTTCTAAAACTATCTAACAAAGTTAGTATTAAACAAGCTGTTAAAAAAAAATCTAAGTGGCAAAGTATCAGAATACTTGACTTTTACACCTGCACATCACATCCAGTTCACAAGATTAACGTTATTATCTCACATTTTGTGCATTTAAACGATTATATGCCAGTCATTAGCTGTGATGTGATCAAGTGAAGAAATTTAAGACATACACAAGAATTTGTTTTAAAGACTACAGAATATCTTAAACACTCTTTTGAAAATTTTCTTATCATCTATTGCTTTTAACATTTCACTGCTTAAACTCTGATGCTACCATTGGCACGAGGCAACCGAAAAAGCAAATCTTACTAAGAGTTAATGGGTGATAGCTGATGTACTTGCTTTTAAGAACATTTCCTAAAACATCTACTTTTCAGCTCTTTTGTTAGAGCATCACTGAAAAACAAAATGTGGGTAAGAATAGGTGTTAAGAAAAGCTCATGCAAAACAAAGCAGACATGCACACAGCTTATGAGGCAAAAAAATTGCAACCCATCATTATCATGTTGTATTGTATTGGAATCTGAACTTTAAATTCAGTGTTCTGCTGCTGCAGACAGTGCTCAGTGAGCTACATGGCAACAAAAGCCCTAATGAAGCTCAGGGAAGTTCCAGCCTTCATCGTCGCCCTTAAGTATTATAAGCAAAACCAAAACAACACTAAACTTTCCTTAAAGGGTAGCCCCATATGCAAATGTATATACACAAAGTTTCCCTTTCAGTGATTACTCATTTCTGTCACAGTAAAGAACAAACCAACCCAAACCATTGACATTAACAGACAGGCAAAACATACATTTATTCTCTGCCTAGTTAATAATTATAAAACAAAGTTCTGCTTCAGACATAAAGAACAGACCAACCCAAACCATTGACATTAACAGACTGCACAGACAGGCAAAACATACATTTATTCTCTGCCTAGTTAATAATTATAAAACAAAGTTCTGCTTCAGACAGTCGCTTACATTCTTGTACCAGACACACATACGTACACCATTGACTGCAGAGGATACCAACACATAGTTAGATGTTTAAAGTGCCCCAAAATGCTGACATTTAGGCAGGACAAAAGCAGGGGTGGTTGGGGTTTGGCTTTTTTGGTGGGAATTTTTTTGTTTGGTTTTGTTTTTTAAAGCTACCATGCAAACTTCTTCTGTGCCAAATTTCACCTGAAATCAGCAGAATTTCCTAGACCAGGTTTTACTTAAGGGTCTACCACTGCCAAACACATACATATATAATGCCATTGTCTCTTTTACTAAATATTCTAACAGAGGAAATGAGAAGTAATTGCAATAACAAACAGGGGGTTTTTTAAAAGAAAAATCAAGTGGAACTCAACACATTCTCAGGAAATATCCCCACAGCATTCAATTTTATGCAAGAGGTAGATTAGGAGATTAAAGTTTTCCTGGCAAAAATAAGAAAAAAGTAACATCATGGCAAAGATTAGTAAATCTAATTCTGTTAGAAGTTTAACATCTGAAGCCATATGGGTTCGCAGCATCAGTAACTAGCCCAAAGCAGCTCACCACTAGCATATAAAATCAATGCCAGTACAGTTGCAGTGACTTTAGAAAGGATCTTCATGGTCTCTATTTCTTCATATTTCTTATTAATGCACTTTTTTTTTAAAAAAAAAAAATATTTCTTAGGGGTTTCTATTTCCAGCAACATATGGAATTTACACTAAAACTAAGTTACTCATACAAAGGAAATTTTTTTCAGATTATTCATCTACAAGTCAGAACAACATATCTACAAGTCAGAAATTATAATTTTTTAGATACATTCTACCACTGGTTGCTCAAATGGAATTTACGTTAAATCTGAAAGCACTCTGCTGTTTGGTCGGACTAAGAGAATTTTAACTCCAAGGGACAGTCATTTAACATCATGAGGACAGTAACCTCATTGAGCATTCAATTCCAAAACCTAATACAAGTATTTTTGATAGCGTGTGTCATCATGTCAGGGAAAGTTGTGGATTTTTTTTTTTTTATTTAGCAAGGAATAAGTTTAAATAATTGTAAGATGCAGAGAGGAAATAAGAGTCTAAAGTACTTGTTCCACTTTTCCAGCCCTGAATACCTTGTCTGATTAAAAAGTTACTTCAGTTTCCTCCTGATCTCTCACTGAAGTCCAGCTTAAGCCACAAGAACCTTAATGAATGCACTAGCATGTGAAAATGTGGCAGCTGTCAGCCTCACTTCAAAGGAGAGCCCTTTATCTGCCCTACTTTCTACTTGCTTGAGAAAGAAAAATCGCTGTTTTCCAGCTACTACATGTTTAAGGAGCTCTGAGAAACCTGCATGGCCTCTTATGAGCCAACACACAAAACTATACTACACTCCTCTAAAAAAAAAGAAAACACACACAAAAAACATATCAGCAGCAGTGAATACAAGGGAGAGTAGAACAAAAGCAATCAAAGAACACAAGGTTTTAGCATCCCTCACTATGAAGTAAATCACTAATGTAAAGTTTGACAATGTAGATTCAGCAAGCCCAGCAGCTTAACAAGTAATCTGAAACGTGATTACTGCCACATACCACACCATCCAGTAAAAACACATCTAACTAGTTTCAACCTTTGATATGGCAGAAGTCAATCCTTCATTTGCTAGATTTTAGGTACCATTCTTGCAATCCTGCTGCTGAGGAAAATTTAGAAGCTTTGTCCTTGATTATTTCAGTGGTGCTACATAAACGGCACAGTTCCTCCCCCATTCTCTACTGTCAAGTATCTTCTCTTCATTCGCTCACTTCCTATAGCTTTTCCAAGTTAAAAAAAATTAAACAAGTATTCCCGAAACATAAAAGCAAACTGCTCCTACTATTAAAAGATAGCTTACCATATGAAGGAAGATCATTAAGAATACAAAACATATGCAATTATTCCTGCATATTTATCACATAACTGGAAGACAAATTACTTTGGTATGCATGGGGGAATATTCCTTCCTCTACAGGCAATGTTCTGCTCACCAGATTCTCCAACACCATAAGCAATCATGGCATTGAAAGATTACAAAGCAAATTTAAACCCTTATTGTGGTTGCTGTTTCTACTGCTCAAGCTCACAGATCAGTGTTGCTGTATGTAACACACCACTAGGCTCAGTATCTTGAAATGGGCCAGGGAAGGCTGGGGACTCCTTGGATATATGGACACAAGTCATTTTAAACACCACCAAGGCGTGCAGAACGCCACACAGTTAGATTCAATCCCGAGCAATACTGTGCCTTTTGTAACAAAGACATTGCTATTACTTCATTATTGCTCTTTTGCTGGAAAAAGCTGCAGGATGTTCGTACAATGGTTCACCTGTATTTCAGATTTGGAATCTTTGCATGTATGATTTAGCTTTTCATTATGTTTTTCCATCTTGCTACTACGCTTACCTCTGTCTACAGATGTGAAAAAGTAATTACAGTACTAGTCCCTAATGCATACTTTCTTACAGAAAACCAAAATGAGGAGCAATGAATAATATTTCCTTGGGTTTCGTTGTCTGAAATTAAAAGCTTCTAAGTTTTTGATAAAAAAACCCCCACACACCGCATCTAACTTTGTTAGTGTTAGTTCATTGTGTTATCAACTTGAAATCAGCTGTAACATGTTAGGGACTGGCTATCCTGATCATTTTGAAAATAGTGCCACATAGACATGCACAATTCAACAAGCCCACAGTGACATGCAGTGACAGCTCAAGGAGGTTATGGTGGGGAAGGAAGTAAAAAAAGTGCTTTTCTGGCAACACTGGTGGGTGTGGGGAGAAGTGGTCTGCTACATGCATGCTAAATACGGTGGAACATTTAGATACCCTACCTGAGGGGTGATCCGATGAGCAATGTAGGAGGGGTAGGGTTACTCCCTGCATTGTGCCGGCGTCGTACTGCCTGACGCCTAAATGTGCTGCGTTCACGGCGAAACGTGACAGTCTCCTCGCTGGCTTGTGCTGCTGCAGCAAGACAGACTTTAGGTCAAATAAGAACCCATCCTAGTTACGTACACAGTAACTTAAGACTCCTTCCTTCCCTCTGACCCTCCCCAAGTTAATGAATTTGACTTGCAAAAACAGATGTAGCTTATAGACTAACTGTTCAAATAACCTGCCTCAAGACAGGACCACAACACACAATTATTAGTAAGAACTGGGGTGCTTGGGTGGTGGGGTCTATCTATTTTTGACCCCTTCTCTTTCTTTGCCCCCAGATTCAAATAGTCAGGTTGCAAAGAAGTTGGATAGCCCAAATATCTTCCAGGTGCATAGAGCAAGAAGAGACAAAACTCATCTCACCTTTACCTCATTTGATCAATAATTAAAGAAGAAGCCCAAAGGACATCCTAGAAAGGTTGCCTGCCACTCCTCACCCATAATATTCTCAATTTTTATAATTTCTGCCAAACAAGTAGGGTTGAGGTTAACCTCATCACACCTCCTCAGGAAACAAGAAGATCGTCTTTTCTTTTTCCTCCTAAGTACCAAGGGATAATTTGCTCATTTTAGACTAGCTACACTACGATTTGAAGGAGCAGGGTTAAACCAGAGAATAAATGCTTTGTAAGGATTGGAGGGTTTGTTATTTCAATTATCCAAATAAAAGCAAACACACACAAAAAGATCGGGTGCAGTTCAAGAAACACAGGAAAAAACAGTTGGTATGTACTCAAAGGAATTTAAGATTTTCACACAGATTCCCCCCCCAAAATCCACCTGTGCTCCCTAAGCTTTGCAGTCTGAGCAACTTTGGGCTTGGACTGCTTCGTGGTGTGTCTCTACCACATCAGCCTTCCTCCTGAACTAAGGAAGCTACTAATCAATCTGAATGCAGAGCACTAGAGAGCACAAATGAACGGGTCACAGAGACAACAGGTTTTGGTTAGGCAAGTGAAGGAGAAAACACACCACAAAACTTGACATGAAGTCAGTGCAAGAGGAGAATCGCAACCTTGAAGCAGAAGAAACAACTTGGTAGCCAAGAAGCCTGTTACTACAGTGAGAAAACCAAGAACTGTCTCAGGCTAGAACTAAAAAACAAAAACCAAACCAACCAGAAACCACTAAGAGAGCACTGGGTTTTTTCTTCTGGCAGAAGATCCCAGGCAGAATAGTCCATGTTCACTTCAACACATTTTAAGCAACAACGTTCCTGTCGTTAAGTTTTCAAAACTTACCAACAAAGAATCTAACCCTGGTCTACAGGGAAGAGCAACTTCCTAATGGTGTGTACTACTGCCACAGCTCGAGCAATAAAGCATTCATGGAAGAAGAGTCTAATTCCACCCACAAACCACAGGTTATCAGGTGAGTACTGTATACAGAACTCCAACGCGTGACTTGCTTTAAAAGCTGAGAAGCTACATGAAGAGGTTACTTTAAGACCAACATTAAAAAGTTACAACTATTTCATTACCAAAACATCAAAAATTAAGGACATACTTAATTCAGTCCTATACTATTTTTTTTTTCAGGAAAGCTGTGGGATTGCTCACTTCCTCCTCACTCCTCCACAGCTGTTTTTGCTACCTGAAGTGTGAATGGATGATACTTCTTTTCAGTGGATTTCACCAAGAATTCAGGAGTGCTTCTCTTGTTACTTAATATACAGCTTTATAATATGTTTTAATACACAAGCTAAACTCCTCAAGGAGTTCTTTATAGCTCTCATACTTCGACTAGCGTTAAAATGAAACACACTAAACAAGACAGTATGAATCCTGCTTTTTTTTTTTCTGGTGGATTAAGTTAGCACACAAGAGGTCAAAGCTACCCACTAATCTCAGGTGCCAATTTGTAAAGCTCAATTTTTCCAGCGTATGCATCAACATAAAGAATTCATATTCACAGCACAGCTTCCACCAACTTCAGATGCAAAAGCAATTCCATGCCTTTCAGCTAAATCAGGTCATAGCAAAGCACCAGGGAAGAAAGAACAGTGACTAATGTTAACTGAAATGTAAACATCTTAATTACCATTGAGATGGTAAACATCAGCCTTACAGTCGTAATTACCATTTGCAACTACTTAGCAAAAGCAGCATTCAAACCGATTCTTCAAGGCAGTATACTTAACACTGACAAAATCTGCTTCTCTTCTCATATTCTTTATTCAGTGAACATGACCTTCTGCAATAGCTGAAGCCTAGATTGTGGAAACACTAGAGGTCCTTCCTACACAGCTCCAAGCTAGCACTAAGTAGATCTGCCTCAAGCACTGACTGAGGCAATGTCCTGTGAGGAAAACAGAGATACAGACATGTTTGATGATGAGTTGTATTTGTTTTGGTTTTTTTTTTAAATAAATCAATCAAAACTAAGTACTTGGGGATTAAATTCAAAGCTGCACAGGCAAATAGTTCTGGCACTAGCTAACCTCCTATTATTTCACTTTAATCTTTAAAAATCAAAGTAGATTTTGGTGTAGTTTTCAACTTAATCTACCAAGCGATTTTCGATTTATCTTGAAACTTTTTTCAGTGCACACCTATAGACACCCTTCCTGAATGTAGGTGGTGACATTCAGGACCACTAAGCAAGTCTTTAAGTTCTTCTGAAAAGACTGCAGAGCTTTTCAGCCTTAAGAGCTCTGAGTCTGGTCACTTCATGCAACACCACAAGAAGCTACAATTTGAAACCATGACTAAGGAAGTAAAAAAAAAAATAAAAAAGGAGCAAAAAGGATCACTGTTTGTTTGAAGTGCAGAAAGCGAAACTGAGCAAAGTGTGGGTTTATAACTGTTTTTTTTGTTTTGGTGGTGTGATTTTTTTTGTAAAAGTAATTTCAAAGAACACAAAAGATAAAAAAAAAAATCTATGGAAAGTTGCTTACATTAATACGTATTATTTGTGTAGTCATGTTGCACGTGAGCTCACCAGCTGCATATATGCAAGATAAAGCTTCTAAATTATCCTCTATCATGCTCTGAGATCAGCTTAATCATGAGGGAAATAGTTTCTTCTTAACATAAATAAGCTCCCTTTAATATTTACAAAGTAGCACAGCATTTTGATTTTTAAAAACTAAACTAAACAAAAGTTACTCCGTAGGACAGCTTTTTTGAAAAAGAACCCCACATCTTTAGATCATCACTCACACTTCTCTGATACTGGTACTTAAAATCACTTACCCTAGACTCCAGAACGGTAAAATACAACACCTACACTCATGCAAAACCTAAGTCTAATCGGGACAGATAACACAGGCTGCATTTTTACATTTCCTGCTTACTTGCAGTAAATCAGTAGAGGAAGACAACCCTTCCAGCTCACAGAGTGTTTGCTGTTTAAGTCTGTTCTATTTTTCTGTTTTATTCTAAACTTTCACATTGAAACTGTACATTTCACCTCCATCATGAAATTTAAGTATAAACTTCTTCTGCACATTGTCATACACATTTAAGGCTCTAACATTATCTGTTCTCAAGAATAGAAAAATCAAGTTTGAAGTTCAAAGTGCACAAGGCAGAAATACAAACCTACATCCTAGAGATCAATAAAGTAAGAGGTGAAGATGTAATAAAAACTTAATAACAAACTTAACCCTCTCACACTATTCCCAACTATAATACACCTTATTTCAAAGAAGTAATAATTTGACTTTTGTATTTGTTAAGGCAACTGTGCACATTAACACATTTATTAAAAATCACTTTTATTTTCATTACACTTGATTGAAAAAAAGCCAAACCAGCACTTAACACACTTAAAAGGTCATAAGGATGCCATTTCATCATTACACATTTTGGATGATACTTTTCCAATACAGAGACTGAAGTTTATTGTAGAAAACATTCTAGAATACCAAATAATTCACACTCATTTGCTAAACAGCTGGGAATATCTGAACACAGACTGAACGACCCTGCCTGCAGGTTATGCCTTTTCAAAATTTCTCTTTCTGTACTGCACAACTGTTTCTGATGGGAACCTCTGCAGTTTCTCAAAATTTTAAGTAGAACTGTGTAGCTTCACACTACAGCTATAAAATTGTTGTACAATACAACAAGCTTTAAGAAATATAAAATGCAAATATTTCCTGTCAGACAGGAACATTTACATATACAAGCCAAAACACTTACAAAATCACTCTGCATCTATCACTGCGTCTAACCCAAACTTAGGACAGAAACTGAAGAAACACGAGATGAAAAAGCAGAATTCCCAAATTTTATTGCATCAACAAAGTCTCATTTCATTTTTGCTAGGCAAAAATGTTAAATCTAGTGTTCAGATGAACTGTAAAATATAGATAAATTCTTCCCAAGTAAGAAGACTCCTGGAAAGATACGGTATGGAGGCAAGCCAGAGATAAAGCAGCCATGTGGAAAACTATAGAGTTCTCAGGATAAAAATTGCCACCTTGAGTCTGACTGGCAAGAAAACAAACAAACAAAAAAATCTACATACAGTGGAAACACAATGTCCCTCACACAGGGTCAATAAAAAAAAGTTAAAAAAACTCAATCACTTTAGATGGTTTTGAACCTTAGTCAGGTTAAGCACAGTTAAACACGTGCACAGAACCTGAGCAATGCTTGCACAGGCCATCCCTCTCCTATCAAACAGGAATTGGTTGTAATGACCAACCACGTAAACTCTCAGCGAGAGCCAAAATGAATACTTTTGGCTCACACGTTCACATCAGCAACAAAATCCATCTTCTAACACCAAACATGTTTCGCCAAACCAAAGAGCTGAAATTTTGCTATTTTGTATCAAGCATCTAGATCTTATTTGTGTAGAAAACCCAAGAAAAGCTGTATTTCGACATATTTATTGGTTAACACCATTCTTCTCATAGAAAAGGCATCCGGTATTTTTTCTTATGTGCCCTAACACTGTTTTAAAAACCACACCTGTAAGATAGATATCCACGCAGAAAGGAGTCCATTCAGTCCCTGTCTTCAGTATAAAGTTATTAGGCACCATGGATTAGGTACCATTTTAAAGACCTATAA